GGGACTTTTCTAGCGGGGGCTGCCTGCACCTGATCTCCAAGCGGCGAAATCACCACTTGGAGATCAAGGAAGGTGTGCGGCCGCCCCTTTCCCTCCCTCCTCCCCTACTGCCCCGCAAAATTTCCCCATGCCCCACCAACCCAACATTCCTGAAGAAGAAGAGATTGGATTTACACCTCGCCCTTCACTCGGAGTCTCAGAGTGGCCTACAAACTCCTTTCCCTCCCCTCCCCACAAGAGACACCCTGTGAGGTAGGTGGGGCTGAGAGAGCTCTTTCCAGAACAGTCCTTGAGAGAACAGCTCTGACACAACTATGGCTTGCCCAGGGCCATCCAGCAGCTGCAGGTGGAGGAGTGGGGAACCTGGTTCTCCCAGATTTAAGTCCAGGCATTTAACAACTACACCAAACTGGCTTTCTATGGGGCTGTACTATTTATTGTATGTATGGTCTTGTTCTTACTGTGTTGCACTTTAGCTTCTGAAATCCAGTTTTTGCAGTTCATATGATATGCCATGTTTTATACTGCTTTTGTTGTATTTTTATATAATCTAGTCATAAATCCATAAGTTTATTAAAACAGTCGTAGACCAGCAGAAACCACAGACACATGAATCACAATCATAAGAACATAAGAGACACCAATGTTGGATCAGGCCAAATTTGACTATTGTAAATGTATAATGAATTTATTAATCATGATCTGATTATTGCGAAGTGCTATATATACACACACACACACACACACACACTGTCTTCTTATATGTTTGTTTGTCTTAAAATTAATAAATAGATTATTAAAAGAGAGAGAGAGAATGCAAGGCCCACTCTGAAACTGATGGGATAGTAGTGCCTGAGCTGATACAGATGGGCCCAAATAATTTTTCTGTCTTGCAATATAAAAAGGCAACATCTTCCTGTTGGCAGTTCATAGCAATGTTGGGCATATTATGATCTTTATATGTTTCACTTTGCTGGCATATCCAGCCAGCTCATAAAATAATAATTTTGCTGTTCTTCATTTTTGCGCAAACCCCCCCATACAGAGCAAAGACTTTCAAGCCAGCCAGGTGAATGTGGCTGGTAAGGAATATCATTACCCCCATTTCAGGTGTTACTCTCAACGTTTCCGTGGATACAGAGCAAAGACTTTCAAGCCAGCCAGGTGAATGTGGCTGGTAAGGAATATCATTTCCAAGTGTAAATTAGATGTTTGGGGAGCCAGTTCGTCATTTTTAGAGCAAACCTTTATTTTGACTTAAAATACCCATGTAGGCTAACAAAGATCCTGTTATTTAGGGAAAAGCAGAAGAGAAAGTTGATGTTACGTATTTTGAAACTTTGCGATAGGGTAGGATAATATATTTATATAATATAATATTGGTAATATTAGAAATTGTATTTTTCAGTCCATTTATTCTGATTAAGCAAGACAGTTAACTTAGCTTTCAAGTACCTAGAATATATGTCATTGGATGTTATACGTGTGCATTTTTTACATCTTAGGGAATTTTCTTTTATATTTGTTTCTAGCTTTCTTTCAAATGTTAAGTTCATACTAGGGCTAAACATTTGCACTTTACTTGGAAGTATGTTCAAAGGAATAACATGTTTAAGGCAGTGTTTTGGAGTGTTAAATTACTCAACTGGGCAAAAAAGCTTTTGGTGAATGAGATCTTGCCCCTTCTGCATGTTGAAAGAAGAGTTCAAAGGGGGCTCTGATCATATTGTGACCCTCCTATATCCTTCATACGTAGTGCCCACTGGCCTCATGTGCTGTAGTATATCCAGCTATTGCTAGTAAGCCAAGGCCCTCCCATGCCACACTTAACACACCTGTGGTGTCCTGCTGCTGTCTAAGCCTCTGGGAACACCCCCAGTCTTGTTCTCACAGGACCTGGGTAGCCAGTGTTCCCTCTAAGCTGAGTTAGGGTGAGCTAGTTCACAGTTTTTTAGCCTCCGGCGCACACATTTTTGCCTTAGCTCAGGAAGGATGGCTCCAGAACAAACAGTAGCCAAATCGCTCACTCACAGCTTTAATGCCAGTAGCTCACCAAGTTGAATTTTTGCTCACAAGACTCCACAGCTTAGAGGGAGCACTGATAGCCACTTGTTGAGTTCAAAGGGGGCTCTGATCATATTGTGACCCCCCTATATCCTTCATACGTAGTGCCCACTGGCCTCATGTGCTGTAGTATACCCAGCTATTGCTAGTAAGCCAAGGCCCTCCCATGCCACACTTAACACACCTGTGGTGTCCTGCTGCTGTCTAAGCCTCTGGGAACACCCCCAGTCTTGTTCTCACAGGACCTGGGTAGCCAGTGTTCCCTCTAAGCTGAGTTAGGGTGAGCTAGTTCACAGTTTTTTAGCCTCCGGCGCACACATTTTTGCCTTAGCTCAGGAAGGATGGCTCCAGAACAAACTAATTTATGCAGTAGCCAAATCGCTCGCTCACAGCTTTAATGCCAGTAGCTCACCAAGTTGAATTTTTGCTCACAAGACTCCACAGCTTAGAGGGAGCACTGATAGCCACTTGTTGTTTGGTTTCTCTTTAGGATTTTTTAATGTTAAGATCATGTTGTCAGTGTTGATGCAGAATAAAAATAAGAAACTCTTAGAGAATAAAGCCCTTGTGTTGTTACTTGACTATAGTATGAGATATCCAGATGATAAATCTGCTTAGCATTTATAGAACACTTAAATATATTCAAATACCATTACATGCACTATTCAGCAGTCCTTTCAACTGTCACATATGAGTATCCCTTAACTGATGAGGCAAAGAGATGTGGAGTCTGAAAGACAGTGGCTTGACAAAAGCCAGTTGATTCATGGCTGAAGCAAAAATTGAAGGAGACCTGAATTAATAATTCAGTCTCATAGTCTAGTTCCCTGACCTGGTTTCCTATAGATTCTTGTAAATTAGTAAGCTTTGGCTTATCAGCAAAGGTTGTAGATGTTGCAGTACATCCTGCACAGTGTCGACACTGGAAGTGCAAGGGTAGAATGGGAAGAAGAGGATTACAGT